TGTGTGTGTCAAAAATCCAGATGGGGTAGAGAAATGAAAGAGAAGGGATTGTGGCATGACCACATCCCATGGGAGATGCTCTCTGACTCTCCTCTCTCTCTGTTTCTGTCTGGTAATGATACACACCCTCTTTAAATAAAAATAAATAAATAAATAAATAAAAAAGAAACTGTTTGGAGACAGGAAATGTCCTGGCCAGGATGGCCCTATTTAACAGTGCGGGGAGGATCAGGATCACTTAGAATACAATGTGAATTGTATTCCACACCCTTGATCTGTGGAAAATTCCTGGCCCCTGCTGTCAGTTCTGGACTCCTGGGGCAGGGAAGAATGGAATAGGCCCACCTGTGACCACTGTTACTGCTGCAGCAGGGGGCTGGCCCTGGCTTTTCTAGATGGAGTTAAATTTCCTGTTGAACAGATTCTATAGAACTCATTGTAATATATGACCCAAGGACATTTCAGGGTCAAAAAAAAACTTCCTTGGGAATCTGTGTGTCTGTGCGCTAAGTGGGCAAATGGGATCTATGTTTCAAGTCATGATGAAACTTTCGGAATATTGCTGTTTTGTAATGTGATGGTTTCCTATGGTGAATGCAGCCGATTCCTCATCTTCCTGCATGCTTCTTTTTCTCTAATTGAATTTTCATTACTACTCATCTGCATATGACATTTCACAGAAATGTATAAATGTGACATTATCATGTATACTGTAGTTCTTTTTTTGCACTTTTCTTTTTTTTCCTCTCTCTTTTGTTTGGCTTAGCTTCTCTTCTTTCTTTATCTTCCCTCTTTCCTGACTTTATCATATTGACTCCTTCTCTAAGAATCCAGGTTTACAACCGTGTGTGTATCCACTTCTGGGTATTTCCATGTTTAATTGATTACAAGAAGCACATGGTACCCACGTACACATGCTTTTGTAATTACTCACAAATGTAACACATGCGTACATGCTCACCCAGGTTTTCTTTAGTATGTCTCTTTCTCTTAACAGGATTGTTCCTACCTTTTTGTACATTTTGCTTTTTGTTGTTGTCGCCAGATATTTGTTTTCAACAACAGCATATCAGTTTTGTGGTGTGGACATACCCAAGCTATGAAATCCTCTCGCTGTGGATGGACATTCACTTCATTTCCCATTTTTTTTCTAGCACAGTTTTGCAGTACGCATCCTTGTTCATATGTCCTATGGTTAATGATACTTTCATTTACGTTGGATAGATCCCTAGAAACGAATGGCTCTGGTGAAATACATGGAGATTCTAAATTTAAAGAGCGACATTGACAGATTGTTTTATTCCAAAGGCTTTAATAATTCATTTGTATTCCCACTGATCATATGGGAAAGTACCCCCCCCCATATCCCTGGTGGCATTATGTAATGCTAGACTTCCATGTTTGCCTATCTAATATCTTTCCATTTAAAAAATTTTCTAGACCAAGTTTATTTTTACATTTTCCTCCCCTCCCCTCCCCTCCCCTCCCCTGTTTCCTTTCTTCTGTTCTTTCATTCTTTTGTCCTTCCTTCCTTCCTTCCTTCCTTCCTTCCTTCCTTCCTTCCTTCCTTCCTTCCTCTTCCTTTTCTTTTATTTCCTATAGGATCCATATACTCACCAAAAAGAGACAGAAATGGAAAGTGAGAAAGCAAATCTCCCATCCCCAGGAAAGATGACTATGCTGCAGTTCCTTCTCCTCCATTCTCCTCTTAGAATTTCAGGTATGCACACATACCTGGTGTGTTTTTTTCAAACTGTCAGTCCAAGACTTGAACCCCAGAGTTGGTCTTGTGGGACCCAGCTGCCTTAACCACCACACCACTGGTTAGCCTGATGTACTTCTTTTTTGCTTTTTCCTGAATTGCCTGATTTCCCCACTATGTCCATATTTCTTTTGGCTTATTTTTCTCTAGTGTAAATTTGGAAGACGAATCTTATATTATCAATAAAAATGTGGTGCCCTCCATTGCATATACTGTTTCAAATTGATCATTTATTTAATAGATGCTTCACTCTGCTTTTCTACATATTAAGATAAAATGTAACCAAAAGGTTTATCTTTGTTTTCATAGTTTCTTAGGGTTCAATTTTAGTTAAAATGATCACCTCCACCTAGATTAGATGCCTATATTCTACATTTTCTTGCAGAATTATAATTGCTTTATTTTTCACTCTTATGTTTTGTTTTAAGAATTAGTTCATTGCATTTATTATTATTGTTATTTCTTAATTTGACCAGGGAGACACAGAGAGAGAGGGAAAGTAAGAAATCGAGCAGCCAGGTCAGGAACTTGAATCGTGGCCAGTCTTGTGGGAGTCCAGCACCTCAACCACCACACCACTGAGGCCCCTACCTTAGGTTTTTAATAAAACAAGTATAGCTTCTTAAACAAGCAATATCCTATTTTGATTTAAAATAGTGCTTTTGTCCCATAAATTCTCAAATATGTTGAAATCTAATTTTATATTCTTTGTCTGTATAATGATCTTTCGTTTGTTTCTAGGTGAACAACATGTTGATTTGACTACACATTTGGCTTAACAGAATGGTCTAATATCAGCTAAGTCAAGTCTGACCTTGCTATTTTACTTTATTTTTAGTTATTTTATGAGAGAAAGAGACAGGTACTCCTAAAAGGGTCTTGCTATGCTGCTCTCCTCCCCTTGAGCTTCCCAGTCAACCAAGATCACAGGGAGGTGTAGATGAGCCCTACATGTTCATGTAGACCCAGACTCTGAGCCTAGACCTCCCATATGGCTTCATTATGGTGCAGTATCCTACCGCCTGGACCACTATGACTAGGTCAACCATTCTTCTATCTTAAAAATGACTATTCTATGAGTTTTATTTCTTCTATGGAAATTTTAAGATCATTCTTTCCAATTCCAAACACTTTCTAAGTTATGTTTATGTAGACATATATATGTATGTGTGTGTGCATGCACTTGTAATTATATGTATCATTTATGATGTATTATGTATGTATTGCTAACTACTTAAATGTAATAAAGACCTTGATGAAGTTTCTTATGCACAAGTATATGTAATTTATGATAACATTTCTGATAGCAGTCTTTATTACCTTGAAGTAGTATATTTCAGTTCCCATGGAAACTTGAAATTTGTTATAAGAATGGTGTGAGAACCCTAAAAATTCTATTTTTCAGCAACCTTGATAAGATCATTTGTTTTTCTTTCTTCAACACTCAGTACAATTAATTCTATTGATATATTGCCTGATAATGATCTACCCTTGTATTCTAATAATGTCTTCTTGGACATAGTGGCTTGTTCATTTGTTATGATGCTGGAGTCTCTTTGATAGTATTTGTCTTAAAAATTGTGCATTTATATTCAGAAGAGAATCCTCCTTTTTTTTGTGCTAACTTTACCGGGTTTAAAAATAACAGTCATGGGGGCCAGCAGGTGGTGTAATGATTGGAAGTGCTGGACTCCCACATGGTTGACCATGGTTTAAGTCCCGGACCTGGCGGCTTGCTTTCTCACTTTTCCTCTTTGTCTTGCTTTCACTCTGTCCCTCTCTGGTCAGATTGAAATAAGTAAATAAATAAATAAAGTTAAATAAAATAATTATTAAAAAAAATCATGTAAGTTTTGTAAAATGAGAAGAACTCTCTTTGTTTTTCTCTGGCCTGGATTAGTTGAATAAAGGTATTTTATTTTAATTCTGTTTTGTAAACAATATAGTAAACTTCATTCTTGGTGTATGATTCTATGAATTTTACTATGTATAATTTATGTATTTACAAGTACAAACAACATATAGAACAGTTTTCTTGCTCACAAAACTCTTTTTCACATCCTCCCTCCAATTGCTAGCCCCTGGCAAAACTGATTTGTCCTCCCTCACTATAGATGGAGTCTTTTCAAGAAAGCCACATTAATGGAACCATTTAAACTAACTTCTCTGAGATTGGTTTCTTTTACTTTTTATAATGCCTTTGAAACTCATCCATGATGTTGCATGAATCAATAGTTGGTTTGTTTACTCATTCAGCTGTTGAAAGACTTTGAGGCTTTTTCTAATTGTTGGTAATTATGACTCGAACTTCTGTAAATATACGTGTGTAGGTTCTTGTGTGAAGTTAAATTTTACTTTTGTGCAGGAAAATACCAAGTGTTAAATGGCAAGATTGTAGGGTAAGCATATGTTTAATTTTATGCAACACTATCTGTTTTCCAGAGAGGCTATGTTACTTTGCATTTCCATCAGCTATGTATGACATCTTTTCTCAAACTTCTTTTACTGACACACAGATAGAGAGATAGAGAGACTGTGCCCCACCCCCATGCAACAAAGTCATGCCATGTTGTAATCTTCCCCTGAGCCCTGATCCTTTCAGCCAACCAGGATCACAGGTACACATGTGGGTGCATTTGGTATGTTCACATTGGCCTGGGACCTGAACTCTGGGTCTGTTGATATGATTCCAGCATCACATGGCAACACTCTACTTCCTGTGTCATCATGAGGGCCTGCATGACATCCTTACCATGTTGAATCTCAATCCATGAACATAGTATGTATGTATTTCTATTTATTTAGCTCTTCTTTGAGTTCCTGTATCAAGGTTTTGCTATTTTTAAATTTAATTTAATTATTATTTTTTACATTTATCCACTGTAAATCTTTATCTCATATATGATTGAACACACATTTTGCTTCAAAATTAAGTCATAATTGAAGAAAGAATGGTTTATTGTCCTAATCAAGTGACCAAGCTGTTGAATCTTAAGACTTCAATGAAAGTTGCTTCATAATATTTTTATTAAACAATAAGACCTTCTATTTTGATAGTCTCTGGTAAACAGTGATTTTGGTCCCCTGGTCGTTTTTATTTGCTGAACAGTCATGATGGATAGTTTAACAGGGTGACTACTCTTTGCAGGGAATTCTATCAGACAACTCCTCAATTCTAGTGCTACAGCTATTAGCATCTTGTATCAATAACCCATTCATCAGGACTTCTCTACTGTGGTTAGTCAATGAGTCCTGTTTGGGTTGCCAAGGCTTTATTTTGCTTAATATGATATTCCATAAATCTTGTGAATATTCTTTTTGTAATTTTTAGTTACTTCTGTAATCAGTGCTCTGAACAGGTGGTCTCTTCAGGTTTTACTCTCCTTATTGTAAAATCTTTTCTTTTTTTTTTTGGAGAGGTTTTCGCTATAGGGCGCGTGCTCTTGCCAGACAGACAGAGACATAGAGACAGAAAGTGAGAATTCACCCACCTCCCCCCGGAGGGATGGTCACCCCGCAATCGCTTCTCCTCCATTCTCCTCTCAGGATCTTGGTCATGCACGCACACGTGCCCGGTGTGAGTTTTAAACCACCAGATCCGGGATGCAAACCATGGTCGACTACATGGGAGTCCAGCGACATAGCCATTACACTAACTGCTGGTTCCCTGTAAAATCTTTAATGCTGTCCAAAAAGCATATTTTTGTAAGTTTATTATAGGTTCTAAGAAATTTCTTAAACTGTTTTATCTGATCATAATCTACTATTTGTGCAGCCACATTCTTGTGGTATGTTTATTAGTCACCTTTCAGATGCATGAGTTTTCTTTCTGTTCAGGAAAAGTAGTTGTCTCACCTTTCCTTGAATGTCTCCAGTGATTTCTTACTTAACCACAACCTCTTATATTTGATACCCGTGTGAGGCTGAGAGGCAATGGTAATTTTCTTTTAAATTAAGTTTCCACCTTTTTAGTGTGACTATATAGAAAACTGACAGGATTTGTGTGTAGTGTGTGTGTGTGTGTGTATGTTTGTTGACCTTATATTCTGCAAACTTGTTAAACTTATTGCTAGTTTGTGGAGCTTGGGTTATGGAATCTAGGAGCAGTCACATGGAAAGGTACAGAGGGCAAAAAGTATAGGGGGAGGAGTGAGGAACTTCCATGACCTCTCTAGGTATGCTGTCCTCCCAGCACTTCCACATACTTAACACCCTGCAAGCCTGTCTAACTCTGTCCTCTTGATTTTTTTTTTTTAATAGAGGTTTCATTATGTAGATGTGATTGAATGAATCATTGGCTATCAGTGATTAGCTCAATCTTCATTTCCTCTCCCTACCTGAAGTGACCCTGAATATTCCGACCCTCTGATCACATGGTTTATTCCCCTGGCAACTAGACTCATCCTAAGGCTATCCTGAGGCTACCCAGGGGTCCCCCATCATCTTATTAGTATACAGGAGACATCTGTCACTTCCAGAGATGGAAAGGGTTTTAGTTCCTATGTCCCAAGACAGAGAGGCAGAGACCAAATATGTATTTCTTGTTACATCACAGTCTTTCTTGGTCATGTTGTAACATATTTTATGTATACTGTCACATTCTATTTGCTCATGTTTTGCTGAGCATTTTTGTGTCTATGTTCAGGAGAACTATTGATGTGTACTTTTCCTTTTTTGTTAATAGTGTAAATGGAAAATATTTCTGGAAGAAAATATTTCTGGGAGAAATAAAGAACTGGTGTTATTTATTCTTTAAATGTTTAATAGAGTTCACCAATGAAACCTGTAACTAGAGACTTCTTTTTTATTTTAAAAATTATTTATTTAATTTTACTTATCTATTTATTTTAAATTTGACCAGAAAGAGACAGAACAAGAGAATGAGGAAGAAAGGGAAGGTGAGAAAGCAAGCCTCCAGGTCTGGGATTTGAACCATGGTTGGCTATGTGGGAGTCCAGCACCTTAACCATTAAGACACCGGATGGCTTCAGAGACTTCTTTTTCAGAAGGTTTTCAACTACTTATACAATTTACTTAATTGTAGAACCATTATAGATTTAATTATGTCCTGTCACAATTTATATATTGAAGTCCTAACCTCCAGCCCCCCAGAGTTTATTATAGGTTCTAAGAAATTTCTTAAACTGTTTTATCTGATCAGAATCTACTATTTGTGCAGCCACATTCTTGTGGTATGTTTATTAGTCACCTTTCAGATGCATGAGTTTTCTTTCTGTTCAGGAAAAGTAGTTGTCTCACCTTTTCTGAAAGAATGGGACCTTTTCTGAAAGCAGGTTTATTGCAGATAATATGTTAAGATAAGGTCATATTGGAGGAGGGTGGGTCTTCATCTGATATAACTTGTGTCCTTATAGAAAGGAGAATTTTGAACACAGACATTGATTCACACAGGAGAATACCATGTGAAGATAAAGGAAGACATCAGGGATGGTGCTTCTTCAAGACAAAGAAGCCAAAGAGGGGAACCTGCAGTTAGCGTAATGGCTATGTCGCTGGACTCCCATGTAGTCGACCGCGGTTCGCGTCCCGGATCCCGTGGCTTAAAACTCACGCCGGGCATGTGTGTGTGTGTGCCCAGGATCCCGAGAGGAGAATGGAGAAGAAGGGATTGCGGGGTGACCATCCCCCCTGGGGGGTGATTTCTCACTTTCTATCTCTATGTCTCTCTCTGTCTGGCGAGCGCACGCGAAAACCTCTCCAAAAAAAAGAAGCCAAAGAGTGCCCTTAATTCATAAGAAGCCAGGAGGGAGGCATACAACAGATGCTAACTGCCCTCAGAAAGAGCCAGCCGTGCTAATCTGTTAGTCCCTGCTGGTCTTGAACTATTAGCTGCCAGAACTGGGAGACAATAAATTTCTGTTGTTCGAGCTACCTGGTTTGTGGTGTGTGTGTGTATATTTTATAGTAGCTCTAGTCAAATGATAAAAACACTTTTCTGATTATGTATTGTGCAAATTTTGGTATTTTTGTGGATTTTGAAAAAGTAGCCAATTTTGTCTATTATTATTTAGCCATCAAATTTATGTGTATGCTCACTCTATGTAGTATTCACTTTTTATCCTGGAAATGTCTGCAAGGTCTGTGGTGATACTCCCCTTTCCATTCCTCATGTTGGCAATTTGTGTCCGTTTTTCTCTTCTTCCTTCCCTCCCCCTTCCTTCCCTCCTGCTTACTCTCCCTTTTCCTCCCTTCCCCTCTCCTCTCCTTTTCTCTTTCCTTCCTTTCCTCTCTCCCTCTCTCTTTCCC